ACGATGCCAAGCATTTTCCTATTCTTTCAGAAAAAATATCTCAAAATCCATTAGAACCCTATGACAGCAAATATCATGTAGAAATAGTTTCTACCCTGAAGAATAACTTCTAAAAATCGTTTTAAGGATTTCAACGAAATGACTTTAGTAGCGCAGTTTGTTGTTTCACCCTTTATGGAAATTGATATCCAACAGTTTGCAACTTGTGTTATGCAGAACTTTGGCGAAGACATCGCTGCAACAGAAATGGAAGTAATTAAGTTTCAAAATGATTTAGCCTTAAAATCGTTAGTCTCAAGTACCAAATGTATCTGGCCTATTGTAAGTAAAGACAAATATTCAGTTCTATGCCGTGTTGCCTTGAAAGTGAAAGCATTATTCAGTTCAACCTATTTGTGTGAATCTTCTTTTTCCAATATGAAGAACAAATATCGCAATCGACTATGAACATTTGGATAATTGTATTCGAATGGCTGTATCAAATTATACTGCAAACATTAAAAAAATTATCGATGAGTCTGAGTGCTTTTTTATTTTTCAATGTTTATGTTCATGATAGTGCGTTACTTTTTTGTTGTTATTATTAACTATTTTTAAATCTTACGTTATGGCTGGATAAAAGTTTGTGTTTATTTTTCAAACACCTTCGTTTGGTAGGTAGGAATGTAGCTATGAACAAGTACGTACTAGTAATATTAGTTATTTTGTTATTAGTATATTATTAGTACCTATGTATTATGTATTACCAGTTAATTAGTAAAATAAATACATATAATGATAAATTAACTGTGGATTATTTCATTTACGTTGCGTTACGTGGCTTCCGTGTGGATAGCTCGCTGTTTATTCCAAAATTAACAAAGTAGCTCAACACATTGAGAGGTTGGCGACCATTGCCGTAGACTATTTTGAATCATTTGTAAAATCTAAATTGATTCGCGAGACGTTTGTATTCTTCAAAGGAAAATCCTTAGAATAATAGGCGAATTTTCTAAATATAATTCTTGTCGACCAATATTTGTAGAATATGGTATTTTGTCACTAGCTTCATTATATGTTTTTAAGAACTTAATTTAAACAAAATATAGATTTCATAATTTTGAAACTAGTCATATGCCAATTAGTAAGCAAACATAATTTTGGAGCTAGTCATATGCCAGTTAGTACATTACTAAAAGTTAACTAAAAGTTATCTAAAAGTTAACTAAAAGTTAACTAAAAGGTCTCCTAAATGTATAAGACCCAGTTAATACAATAAACTAAAACGTCTGTTCCTAAGTTTATCACTTAAAGACGCATGTGTTGTCATCAAAGTTGCATTAAAAGTGACTTCTTTCTCGGTGGTAGTTGTTGGTAGTTATTGGTCTCTAAAATATATTCCTTTTGATTCAATCAATGATTCCATAGAAGAGAAAAATCTATAGTTTAATTCAATTTAAGAGAAATCAAAATTCTCTTCGAAATAATTATAAAAATATCTTAGCTCAAATAGTAGGTGAGGAGTCAAACGAATTTGATTGGATAAAGCAAAGTGTCACAAACTAATACGAAAGACTGTTTATATCCAAAAAACAACTACACCTTTGACTAATATTACAACAGGCATTGTATTCTAAGAAAAAAAGCTCAAATTTTGCTAATGGCCCGAATTCCTAAAAAGGATTTGTTGATATTTAATTTGATATATTTTATGTTAGGACCTGGATGAGTATAAAACAGATATTTTATTTAAGAATAAGCTCAAAAAGTTTTTAAAAATATATGTTTATTCTGCAAAATTGTCTACATGTCACTGAAAATGTTACTAAAGTTGAAGAAGAAGCATTTTTTGGCGACGGAATCTTCTTGAAAAGTAAAATAATAATTAGGTTTTATTTTACTTTACAACCCCAGGGTATTTCTAACAAAAAGAAAGGTCCTTAAGCAAAATCAGATCCTTTCTTAGTGAATTTTAAAAAAAGATTCTCAAACAAAAAAAATTAGATCCTTTCTTAGTAAAATCTAGTGAAAAAAAGGTCCTAAAACTAGGTCCTTCCGAACATTTCTATGCTTAGACTTTGGTGAGCCCTAGAGCTTCGCGGAGCACACTCTAAGAACCGCTGATCTAGAGACTACAAAAATGAATATACCATCTAATTCTTTTTATAACCTATGGTTAAATTTAACCAATTTATTACAGAATAGACCCCATAGTCACATATTTTATAATCCACGAGTTAGAACCAATCGATTTGCGCAACAATTTTACCCAAAATAAATATCAGCTACCGGACTGGTCCAATAAAGATATAACTAGAGATACACGGTGGTTGATTGCGCTTTTCCAATATCAAACTTCCAAATATCATTTCAGTCGACTGAACTCATACACTGCATTATCTCTGTACAGGTCCTGCACCATCTACGGCGGGAGCGAAGGGAAGAGAACACCGCACACCGGGCACATATTATTCGATGATTTATTTCATGCCGTTAGTTGTTTCCATTTGAAGCTATATTCGGTCATTCGAGATAAATTTTGAAGGAAATGGAAAGACGCTGCTTGCGTTTGAGAATAGATACCACTATCGTTCGTCTACTGCAGTAGGGGAAATTGGGAAAACTGGTCCAAATTGGCACGATTGTAATGTGAAAACGACAATATATAAAATATTTTCATATTACTGAGGTCTCCTAAGTATTGGGCATCAGCATTGCATAAAAATAAGTTTTAAAAATTTGATTAAATGCTTCAAAATAGAATAGTATAATTGGAAAATAAATTAAGTTAAGACGGTCCTGGATAAATTGGCTTGATATCTTCAAAATATATGCTTATGTCGTCTGAGATGAAAAAATTTAGATGATTCTGTGATGGTATAGAATTTTTTCAAAACACACTCCGAAGATTTAAAGAAATGTTTTTTTTTATATTCCCTGTATATTAAGCTAAATACACAAAACTTGGTAAATATTATTTGTCAATGAAACTACATTTTTTTAAATTTTTTCAACGTTGAAGTACGCTTAGATGTATTAGATATTTTTTTCTTACAAATTTTTTTAAGATAATAATTTTTCTTTTAAAAAAAATATGGCTTAAGCCCAATTCATTTACTAACTTTTTTATCTCTATAAGTTTTTTACTAAAAAAGCTAATCACTAATTCTCATGCATCTCATTAACTGGACAAACTTTCATTATGCCTTTTATTAAAGGTAAATACCTAATTGTAAATATATGAAGAAAAACCTTTATCAATAGATTTTTATTGTCTGATACTTACTAAAAAAGTTGATCCAAGATCTTGTATATTACTAATTTTTATGAAATACATCTCATTAGCCCGACAAGCACCCGTTATTCTTATAGTAAAGGCCTCAGTAATATAAAAAGAAGCATACACAAATTTTTAAATAATTTGACATTTATGAAAAATTCACACATCACAGTTTACAGCTGACAACTTGATACTTGACAGGCATAGCCAAGCATTATTCTTCAATAAAAGCATTTACTCTTCTCCTTATATAATTGCGTATGCGATGAAATATTCTTGGTGTGCTTCTTATCGTTTCACACCCTGTAACAATGCGGTCTCGCAGATAATAGATATTTTCAACTAGATTTGTATATATAAAAGATTTCAGATATCTCCATATGCAAAAATCGAAAGGATTAAGGTCAGGGGAACGGACTGGCGTCTTTACAGGTCCTCAATTGGAAATTTTATTTTCGTTTAAAACAAAAATATTCAATAGGCCTTATGCAAATTATGACAGCTTATTTGAATGATATTATTAGTAATTCAATGCAGCATCGTAAACTACCTAAATAAAACAAGATTTTATATTTAGCAATCATTCTAAATTGATTACAGGCGAAACAGTGTATTAAGGAGTATTATTATCATTGATTATATTTTTCTTAATAAAATAAATTAGATTACAGTAAAATCCCTAGTTTAATCATTAGTATGCATATAAGAAATAAAAATATGATCGATTAAATCGTTTCACTTGTTTTCAAGTGGTTTTCATTTACTTTATTTGATAAATAATTCAAACCAATGCTAAATAAGATCAATATTGGATTTTTTTTAATTTTACAACTTTTTTTGCTTATATGGAAGGATACTATATGGTTATAATTCGAAATTTACTTAAAATAAGGCTATAAAGTGCACAAAAAGCTTCCAAAATTAAGAGAGCATTGGAAAATTTCTTCTTCTTCATTTTCTCCTCTTCTCTTTATTCTTTTTAAGGATCAGTTTGGATTTCATTCAGAGACATACATAGTTATCCACCCTCTATTTTGTTTTCGTTTTTTTAATGAAAGAATCGTCAGTTGTTCTGTATTCTATTTTTAATGATATGTAAATTAGAAATAAATAATTCGTGTATCTTTGAAATAAGAAAGGATTTTTTTGTACTGTTATTAAGAAACGACTTTCTAAAACTTTTTTTTTAATGTAGATTGTTAATAGGAGTTCTTCTTAAGGCTCCAATCTACTGGGACACCTCTTAGCGGTGACCAGCAAGTTTTTAACGAGTTGAGAGGTAGGTCCTATATGCCCTTGAGGATACATAATGGGTCTAATGAGGTCTAGCCTAAGACATTTGTTCAAGACTACATATATTTTATTCAAATAGTACTGGGTAACATTTTCATATAGAATCCACAATCTATTATATAATATAATCTATACAATAATAGTATTATGCTTGGATCAGCTTCCTATTGTGAATGTGAAACAAATTTCAATGAGTTTACTTTATATTATTTTTTTATAAATATGTAAGTTATCATCAAGTATTCCACAGTTTTTTAATTTGATTAATAATGATTTAAAATGTTTAAAAAAAATATATAGATAAGTAAAATGAAGTGGATAAAACATAGGTTAATGGTATATCTCCCAACCGTTGATACAAATCAAACTCTTTTGTTATCTTAATCTTCAATATCATCCTCAAAAAATACATAAACATTCTAAAGTAAATTATTACAATCAGTTCAAAATGAGACCAGCAACAGTATTTTTGTTGTCAGCCTTAATTATTGGTTCCTTGGAAGCAAAACCAAACATCAAAAATTTTTTTAGTAAGCATTTTTTTAAAGATGTATATGGTACAATTGATGCAAATATAAAAGTTGGAGATGCTGGAAAGCCACTAATTCTCACCGATTTAATCCAACAAGATCAAATTGATGAAGCTCAGGCAGCAGCTGAGGTAAAGTTAGACGCTTTTTTGGGAGTCAAAAGTTACGCTGGATATTTAACAGTTGATGAAATATACGACTCAAACTTGTTCTTCTGGTTTTTCCCATCGCAATCTAACTTTGAAAAGGATCCAGTAATATTGTGGTTACAAGGAGGACCAGGATCACCGTCTGAATATGGTTTGTTTAATGAAAATGGTCCGTTTTTTATTAAAGATAACAAATTGGTTCTAAGAAATAGTTCCTGGACTACATCAAACTCCGTTTTGTATATCGACCAACCTGCTGGTACTGGATTTAGTTTTACCAATGGAGGATATGCAGAAAACCAAACTAAAGTAGGCGAAGATCTGTATAAAGCAATTTATCAATTCTTCCAACTCTTTCCCAACTTGCAACCTAACGAATTCTTTATTGCTGGTGAATCTTATGCTGGTAAATATATCCCCGCTGCTGCTTACACCATATTAAAGAAGAATCCATCAGATGAAATTAAAATTAACTTGAAGGGCTTGGCTATTGGAAATGGATTGACAGATCCTAAATATCAAGTGATGTATGCCGATTACTTAATTCAGCATGGTTTTATTGATCCTAAGAGTAGAGATGCGTTGAAGGATTTTGAAAAACAAGGTAATAAAAAAATATTTAAAATCATACATTTTTTAATTAGTTTATAAAGTTTATTATTAAAAATTGGAAAATTATAATATTCTTTATTACAAAATTGATCAAAAATTAGGCACTTTTTGCGTCTTAGTTTCAAACACATGCATTCTTGAAAAATTCTCTCTGGGTAAGTTGAACATCGTTGTAAAAATCTAAATTTTGTTTCAGTTGTCGAAAGTATGAACAATGAAGACTGGGATCAAGCAAGTAACCAAATTGATGTAGAGTTGAATACAATAAACGGATTGACCGGTCTTAGTAGTCTTTATAATTATCTTGAAAATTACAGTGATGAGAGTGATGATGGAATTGGTAACCTTTTGTCAAGAGAAGATGTCAGGAGGGCTATACACGTTGGCAACACTGATTACGGCGATAGCGCCGTTTATTCTTATCTTTCGTCAGATATTCCAAAATCGGTAGCTCCTCTAGTTGCTGAACTTCTTGAACATTACAGAATTCTTATTTTCAATGGCCAGTTAGATATTATGGTAGCCTATCCTATGACTGTTGACTATTTGCAAAATCTTGACTTTGTTAGTGCTGAAGAGTATAAGAACGCTGAGAGACGTAAATGGAGATATGGAAGTGATGTTGCTGGATACATAAAAAGCGCTGGTAACTTAACAGAAGTTTTGGTAAGAAACGCTGGACATATGGTACCAGCTGATCAACCTGAGTGGGCTTTGGATCTAATAAATAAGTTTACAAAAAATAATTTATAGTTTCTAAATTAACAGAAATATACTCATAAAAATGTTGATATCCCGAAGTTTTATTGTTCATCTTTTTAAAGATTTAACTTCAATTTAGATCTAACTTCCTGATGTAAGTACAAAATATTGACGTTTTTAAGTAGGCACACTTGGTTTGTATGGGCTTAATACTTCCAAAAATCACCATAGATGACGGCATATGTCAGTGTTAAGAATTGAAAATACGATATGTGGTTTGCGACTCAGCTAAGCGACCCAAGATGGCGGTCATCTTTGTCGTGACGTGACGTAGATTAATTTTGAACAGAAAAATCATTCGCAATATCAAATTTAATGATAAGTTAATATCTTCGTTGTTATTGGTCTGATTTAAACAGAAAAAAGCGTTGTTATGTAGAGGATAGAGCATAGATAAACTTTAAAAAGAATAAATCATACGCAGAGACGAAACTAAAAGGGCTTTAACGAATATATTCGCTATTGTTGGTCTGATTCAACTAAGAAAAACGAGTGAGTGGAGAAAATTAAAGGTAGGTTAACGTTGAAGAGAAAATTCCAAAAGAAACTAAGTATATATCTCAGCTAATATTAGTCTAATTTGCATAAAAAATACGGCACTATGTAAGAGACATGTCATAAATTCACGTTAAATAGAAAAATCATGCGCAGCATCAATACCAAAAGGACCTTAGTTCATATCTTGGCTATTATTGGTTCGATTCGACTGGGAAAATGGTATTATATAGGGGAGGTGCCATAGATTTAAATTAATGTGTATCGGCAATGCCATAATATATCTTAACTACTAGTAATACGTATTAGTGAACGACGTTGACGATCGATATGATATTAGTAGTGGTAGCGGAAAAATTACTGGTGTGGTAGAAGAATGTGTATTTAAGTTATGCAGAGATCATCCCACTCATTTCCAATCTAAGTTCTGGATTCGTGAGTTTTGGTATTTAAACCATAGCAAATCATTGATTTGCGAACTTTCTGTTTTTCTTTCGTTACAACCTCTAAAACTAACATAAAAAAAATAATAAAACACTACACACTTCAAAAGATAATAGACATCTCGAGCGACTACCTGTCAAAAACAAGAAAGATATAAATTCAAAAAAAATTATTTTTTAATTTGTTTACCTTTCACCTCCTAAACATCCTAAACATAAAAAAATGACAAGATGTAGTCTCAACAGGTAACGAACGTATAATGAAATTATTGACGAATTTTTAGAGCTTACTCCACCAAACAACAAATAAACGAAAATACAATAAATAAGATAAATACCCATGAAGTAAAGCATACTACACATATTCGTGACAAAGTTTTAAGTTCCAATTTGTGGTTATATTGGGTAATATCTGCGTTTATAAAATATAGCTGTCTAGGATCAAATATACGATTCTCACTATATAACAAATTGGTTGGACAATCATAGCCCCTCTGTAGAATGATTCGAATAAATCGTTTTTGGAATATTTCAAGTGATGAAAGGTAAGTTTTAGATACATTTTAATGACTTATTTACTATTAATCCATTGAGAAATAAAAAGCAGGCTGCCCTATTTAGGAATAACCGTCTGAACCCTACCTAGAGGTAAGAGAGTTTGCTCTATGAATTTTTAATAGTCAACAGTTAGTTCTATCTAGAAATATGCTATCCGGGAATATAAAATAAATAATTGGAGCTCATATTTTTAAAATTATATTTTTTCATCTAAGTTTGTTGCAATTTTTTAATATATGTTGTTTTCTTAAATATGACATGAATTCAACTTATTGACATTGTTAATATCATAAATAGTAATTTTAATTTCTAATCTTTTTTTGAATATATTTAAAACAGTTTCGATAACATCGGTGTTAATTCTTCCTACTTGCAAATATAAAGCATGATCGATTATATATTTATTGGCCGATACCGTATACAGTAGCGAAATCATTATATTTATTTAAAAAAAAAGATTATAAGTTTCAAGAATCCTTTTAAATAATTTTCCTTTAACATTAAGATACTTCCATAGTTAATGCCATTATATGACATGATAATCGTAAAATACGCAGAAACTTTTTATAAATGCTGTGATTTAATAGCGATAAACAAAAATTCACATTAAGTGTATTACTACGAAGGTCAAATATAAATAGACATATATTCAATTTTAAGTGTTTTTATCCAATATAAAAAGAAATTGAACTTTGTACATAGAAAATAAAATCTCTTTTTGTTCTAATAAAGTTATTATTGATTATTTTTTTTGTGGAATTTATTTTAAATATTTATAAATTCTGTGTAAAAGATTTTTTGATTATTTGAGCAGTTATCTCTCAATGGATTCTAAATAATAATTCAAATATATTTCTAACTATTTTGATATCTTAATCTCAAGTTTCATCCTTAAAAAAATATATAAATATTCTAAAGCGAATAGTTAAAATCAGTTCAAAATGAAACCAGCAACATTACTTTTGTTGTCAGTATTAATTATTGGTAGCTTAGAAGCTAAACCAAATATTTTTAAAAATTTTTATGGTAAATTTGATGGAAATATAAAAGTTGGAGATGCTGGAAAACCACTAATACTCACTGACCTAATTCAGCAAAATCGAATTGGTGAAGCTCAAGCAGCATCTGAGGTAAATTTAGATGCCTTCTTGGGAGTCAAAAGTTACGCTGGATATTTCAGAGTTGATGAAATATACGACTCAAACTTGTTCTTCTGGTTTTTCCCATCACAATCAAACTTTGAGAAGGATCCAGTAATAGTGTGGTTACAAGGAGGACCAGGAGCACCATCTGAGCTTGGTTTATTCGGTGAAATAGGTCCATTTGATATTATTGGTGACAAATTGGTATTAAGAAACACTTCCTGGACTACATCAAGCTCCATTTTATTCATTGACCAACCTGCTGGTACAGGATTTAGTTTTACCAATGGAGGATATGCACAAAACCAAACTAAAGTAGGAGATGATCTGTACGAAGCAATCTATCAATTCTTTCAACTCTTTCCCGTTTTGCAATCTAACGATTTTTTCGTTGCTGGTGAATCTTACGGAGGTAAATATGTCCCTGCTTTGGGTTACACAATATTAAAGAAGAATCCAACTGGTGAAATAAAGATTAACTTAAAGGGATTGGCTATTGGAAATGGTTTGACAGACCCTAAGCATCAATACAAATTTGCCGATTATTTACTTCAACTCGGTTTAGTTGATGATAAGGAAAGAGATATGTTGAAGGAAATAGAAAACCAAGGTAATAAAAAAATACATTTTTGATTTTATTGAAACAAATTCTTTTAAAATTTAGGGAGTTTGTTTTTTTGGAAAAAAACAATATTCAGCAACGTTATAACAATAAAATTTTCTTTCAGTTGCCGAAAAAATAGATAATGAAGATTGGCTAGAGGCAAGTAAACTAATAGATGATGAATTTGACGCAATAGATTCAACGGCTGATCTTGCAGATATTCACAATTATCTTGTAAATTATAGCGACTTTGATGATTTCGATACAGATGAATTGGGTGACTTTTTAAGAAGAGAAGACATCAGAAAGGCCATACATGTTGGCAACACTCCTTTTCAAAAAGACGGTAACGTTTATGCAAATCTTCAAGCTGATATTCCAAAATCGGTAGCTCCTCTGGTTGCTGAACTTCTTGAACACTACAGAATTCTTGTGTACAACGGACAATTGGACACTGTGGTACCATATTCTACGACAGTAGAATACTTGCAAAATCTTGACTTTGTTAGTGCTGAAGAGTATAAGAACGCTGAGAGACGTAAATGGAGATATGGAAGTGATGTTGCTGGATACATAAAAAGCGCTGGTAACTTAACAGAAGTTTTGGTAAGAAACGCTGGACATTTGGTACCAGCTGATCAACCTGAGTGGGCTTTGGATCTTATTAATAAATTTATGACAAATAATTTGTAAATTAAATAAAATAAATAAATACAATTTAGATGTACCAATTGTCAATCTTTTATTTTTTGAAAATAATCCTACAAAGAAGATTTTAAAGATTTATCATTACTGTTAGGGTAGGTTATGATGTTGACGACCAATAGGAGTTTAGCAGTAATTGCAGGGAAAGGTACTGTACTGGGAGAAGTTCTGAAACAGTAAAATTCATGTTCTATTAAGGCGCGTTTGGTCAAATCCTCATATATTGGTTCAAACAACACGGACTTATTTTATCTCATTACTTATGACCCACCTTGTATGGAAGCTATTATTAATTCAATGCATCTTGTAATAGTGTACTACCTAAATTAAAAACTAATTTAAATCTATGCTTGTACCTAAATTGAATGCAGATGAACCGTTTTAAAACTATCATTATCAATAATTGAATTTACGTCAATAAATCTTTTACAAATTAATCTTTATTTCATAAAAAAGTAAGATAAAAAAAATAAGACAGTAAAATCCCTAGTGACTGATCGATAAATGTAATAAAAACTGATAACGCTTTTAATCGTTTTTAATTCAACTTTTATTAAGAGGCATTATATCATTGATTAGAAAATTACTTAACAAGTGTTTATATATACAGTGTGGTTCCCTTAGATTTAAAGAAGAAATGCTTTGTTTGGAGGGGGACTCATATTTTTTCTCATTCTATCACTGAAACTTCAACCCTCGAGCAGTGGGGTGAAAAACTCCTATAATTTAGATAGGGAAAGTACCAAGAGTGACATATTTTTGAAAATGTAATTTTATGGGAAATTACATACTACTATTTTTCAAGATCTTGTTCGTTATTACGAAAACAATCGTCAACAAAACTTCCCTAATACTTTTAAATTTACTCCCGTTACTGAAAATGAAATTAGCAAAGTTATTACTAAAGCTAGAGGAACAGATGATATAGATATAACACTTATAAGATTCACGTGTCCATTTATACTGCCATATTGAAGCAATATTATTGGTCTAGTGCGGTGGTCGCCAACCTCTCAATGTGTTGAGCTACTTTGTTAATTTTGGAATAAACAGCGAGCTAACCACACGGAAGCCACGTAACGCAACGTAAATGAAATAATCCACAGTTAATTTATCATTATATGTATTTATTTTACTAATTAACTGGTAATACATAATACATAGGTATTAATAATAAACTAATAACAAAATAACTAATATTACTAGTACGTACTTGTTCATAGCTACATTTCTACCTACCAAACGAAGGTGTTTGAAAAATAAACACAAACTTTTATCCAGCCACAACGGCATGTCACGTAAGATTTAAAAATAGTTAATAATAACAACAAAGAAGTAACGCACTATCATGAACATAAACATTGAAAAATAAAAAAGCACGTTCAATGAGAAGGCTGACACTCAGACTCATCGATAATTTTTTTAATGTTTGCAGTATAATTTGATACAGCCATTCGAATACAATTATCCAAATGTTCATCTGTAAGTCGATTGCGATATTTGTTCTTAATAAACTTCATATTGGAAAAAGAAGATTCACACAAATAGGTTGAACTGAATAATGCTTTCACTTTCAAGGCAACACGGCATAGAACTGAATATTTGTCTTTACTTACAATAGGCCAGATACATTTGGTACTTGAGACTAACGATTTCTCACCACTGTCATGTCACGGTTAAACAACTTGAACCAAAATGAAGAGATAAATTTAAATTTGAAAATATTAATATTAATAAAATTATGATTTAGCAAGTTGTAAATATCCCGAAATATATAATTTTGGGAGTAAGGATGACCAGGAACTTGTTGGATACGTTGTGGACAATGAGCACTGATGATGGCAAATAAGCCGAAAGCGCTTTGCATTGATTAATAAAAAAGTTTTGCACGAAATACAAGTTTTTCCTTTTTGAATCTAAACTACGTGCACGCAGCTGTCAACCTTTTTTGGTTTTTTTAACGATTTTAAGGCTAAATCATTTTGAAACTCAATTACTTCCATTTCTGTTGTAGCGATGTCTTCGCCAAAGTTCTGCATAACACAAGTTGCAAACTGTTGGATATCAATTTCCATAAAGGGTGAAACAACAAACTGCGCTACTAAAGCCATTTCGTTGAAATCCTTAAAACGATTTTTGAAGTTATTCTTCAGGGTAGAAACTATTTCTACATGATATTTGTTGTCATAGGGTTCTAATGGATTTTGAGATATTTTTTCCGAAAGAATAGGAAAATGCTTGGCATCGCTGTTAATTAGGTTTTGTTTCCAAAACTCCAGCTTTTTGATAAATGCTTTTATATCAGAAATCATTTCCGGTAGTTCTTAGTTTCTCCCCTGAAGCTGCAAATTAAGTTCGTTTAATTTCTCTGTAATGTCCACGAGAAAACTAAAATCTCTAAGCCAGATTGAATTTTCTAGTTCCGGAGTCGGTTCATCGCGTTGTTTGAAAAATTGAACTATGCCAGATAGGACATCATTAAAACATTTCAGCACCCGTCCTCTACTTAACCATCGGACTTTAGAGTGAAGGAGTAGGTCCTCGTATTGACAGTCAACTTCATCGGCCAAGGTTTTGAATAACCTTCTTTGTAACGCTTGAGCTCTAATCTTGTTCACAATTTTTACTACCAGTTTTATAACGTTGTTTAGTTTCAGGAAATTTCCACATAATGCTTGCTGATGGATAATGCAGTGGTAACAGAGAAATTGCGTTTCATCTTTACGACATAACGCCACCAGACCCTTATCACAACCCACCATAGCTGGAGCGCCATCGGTTGTCAAGCGTACCATTTTCGATATTGGAATTTTCTCGGAAGAAATAATATTTTTTAAATGAGAAAACAACTCCTGTCCAGTAGTGTGTCCTTTCAGTGGAATAAACTTCAAAAGATCTTCTTTAATCCTAAAATCACTAAAAACCATCCTGATGAACACGGCCATCTGGGCAGTGTCAACGACATCTGTTGATTCATCCAGTTGAAGTGAAAAATAAACACAGTTATCTAAGTCAGTTCTTAACTGTAAAAAAATATCATTGCTCATTACTTCTACCCGACTCATTGCTGTATTAGCAGAAAGTTGCATAGATTTTATAGCTGAAACTATCTCGTCTTTATTTCTAAAGTTGGCAAATAACGAATTAGCAGCTTCTAAAAACGCCTGTGTTATCATTTCCCCGTCTTCATAAGGTTTCTTTTTTTGTGCAATTATCTGGAACACACGGTACGATGCTTCAGTTGCAGCCTTATTTTTGTTGACTGTTCTTAAAAATATTGATTGTTATCCAATTGACTGCTTTTTTAACTGTTTCAGTTTCTCCTTTCTGGCGACAGAATGTAGTGGGAATGATTTTTCAAAATTAGAATGTACAGTTTTATGATATCTCTCAATATTTCCTTTTTTAGCAACGGAGACCGAAGTATTACATAACAAACACACATTTTTATCTTTAACTTCTGTAAAAAAGTATTGTTCTCCCTATTCCGAATGAAAGTGGTATGTCTTTACCTTCTTATAACTGCTTGCCATAATATTATTTTTTGTTGTTCTCTACTAACCCAACCGCTGGACGTTGGTTACGCGTTCAGTTTTAAACTAAGCACAATGTCGCCGTATTTATTCCGTTCAAAGCAAACCTGATCGTTCTCGAACACTAAAGGTTGAGACACACATGTCCGGGCCGTATCCGTACCGAGTGTCGGACGATTAACGCCCGTGCCCCGGCCCGTTCCTCTTGGGACTACACATAACCGAGGTTCGTTAGCGTTTCTGTTGTTCCTTGTAGTGACTCGGAAGTGGTAGTCTGTGAGAGTTGTAAATTTGTTCGCTAATTTTCGAAATAGTGAATTAGGACTTATAGCACTTGCTTTAGAGGAAGAAGAAACAGAAGCAAGGCAAAAACAAAGAAATATGTGGATCCACAGGGCCTGCAAAACAAGATCAGTACAGGGAGAGTTTCGAACATTATTTCCTCATCTCATGGATGATGAAATAAAGTTTTATAAATACTTTAGACAAACTAGAATCAAATTTGAGAAAAAAAGACACTTTCTGGAGACTATCAATTTCACCCAAAGAACGACTGGCCGTTTTTAAGGTAGGTTTAAAAAAGAGTAAACAAAAGGTAAATAAAAAGAAGTTTTAAGGATAACATTTTTATTGTATTCTTGTAATAATTAAAAGATAGCTACATAATTTAGTAAAAAATAAACTTAAATTTCTAAAAATTTCCAAGAAAAAGAAAAAGAACTCACTGAATTATTTTCCACAGGTGGAACAGATGATCCTGACGAGGATAAGGGGGAGCTTAGAGGAGAATGGTTCTGGTTATTGTGTGAATCTCTTTGTTGATGCATAAGTTGCTGAGAAGGGTTCAATGACTCGTTTTCCACGGGTGAAGGATATGGTGTTGAAATAAATCTTGATGAGGAATTTGAAGATGATGGAGGGAATTGATGGATTGGCTCGTTATTCATGAGTTGTTTCAGTTCAAACTCTTGTACAATTGAAAATATCCTACTTTTGGCTTGATGAAAAAGCAGTAGTAAGAACGTTAAAAGATCTTTATACTTATATTTATGTTGACGAACAGCAGCTTGTCCTGAAACAGTTTTCCTTTTCTGTAGGGTCTTCCTTAGTTGATCTCGAATAGATGTCTACTTTCTTTTGCATTCCTCTATTCCTCCTATAACAAAAATATTTAAATTGCATACTTAATTTCAAAAGGTTATAAAAATTGCAAATATTTTGAAAATTACAGAGCATTTCTCATCTTCAATTGAAATAGTTTTTCAGGTTCCTCGCTACAGGAAATTCCTTTAAAACTATTTCTTCTAGAGCAATAATCGAAGCATTGTTAGACGAGGTGATGCCTGTGCCAAATGAAGAAAAATGGGATGCTATAGCTGAGGAGTTTTGGACAAAATGGCAGTTTCCAAACTGCATTGGAATTGGAGCTTTAGATGGAAAGCATATAACAATAAAGGCTCCAAACAACTCAGGAAGTATCTACTGAAATTACAAAAAAAACATATGCCATTGTTCTTCTTGCTCTGGTTGATCCGTGTTATAATTTTATTGCAATAGACGTAGAAGCATACGGAAAAAACTCTGATGGAGGCATTCTAGTATATTCAAATCTTGGAAAGTCATTGGAAAATAATACGCTTAGCATACCAAAGAGCAAAACTTTACCCGGAACTAATGTTGAGCTTCCAATGGTAATTGTAGGCGATGAAGCTTTTCCTCTCAAAACATACCTGATGAGACCATGCCCTGGCAGGGGCTTAACAAATGACAAGAATATATTCAATTATCGCTTAGTCGGGCAAGAAGAATATCCGAAAACGCATTTGGTATCTTGCAACAGAAATTTCGAATATTTAGAAGAATCCTCCAGGGAAATGCTAAAAACCTTACAATGATGGTGACGGCTGCATGTGTTTTGTACAACTTTATTCGAAAAATGGAAGGTTATAGGGTGCTCGAACAGAGAATGGATCAAAAGGAAACTGCTGAAGGATCTGAAAGATCATCAAATTTTCGAAACCTACCTCGGATTCGTGGGCGATCAGCCGATGCTGCATTTACTGTACGAGACCAACTAAAAACCTTCCTGAATTTTCCAGAAGGTAGTATGGAATGGCAAGAGCATGTCGCCTTGGCAATACACCAATGAAATAAAGCTTAAAATGAGATTTATTTTGCAAAATAAAAATTCCATAAATATATTTTTGAAATTAATATTTGTAATAATTTATAGCTTACCTTTGGCTTTCAAATTAGTTGCAATTTTCTTCCAGACTCTGTCTTTGTATTCGGTATTCCGGTATTTTTCATTTGTCTAGTCATAAAGCACAGGGAACTTACGAATTTCTTCTTAGTCTTTCCACATCCATTTTTTGTACACAAAACACTCTTCAGCCTACAAAACAATACTACCGTCGTGTCGTCCGACACGTGAAAAATTAAACAAAACTAATTTCGCCCGGCACGCTCTCCGCTCAACGACGTTCCTCGAGCACGGCCCGTTCATGTATGGATAGATACATTTATTTTAATGGTCTATTTCGTTCTCCGGGTGACGGCCGATACTCGGACGTGTCTCGGCACGGACATGGCTCGGACATGTGTGTCTTAACCTTAAACCTTAACGCGCTGGTCCGGCTGGTCGGTTCTAGCCGATTCTAGCTTGATGGCGTCAGCGGCAGATCGCTCATCGCAACGTTGCCGCTGTTTATGTTTAATATTATGATAATTAGATTTTCTTGTGGAATTTTCGGAAGCTTCTCTGATTTTTGCAGTTTGTATTTTTTAAATTAAAATCGTTGTGAGAGCTACCAGAATTGCCTCCGCGAGCTACCGGTAGCTCGCGATCGACAGGTTGGCGACCACTGCTCTAGTGGAAAGTAAGCAAGGTAATTCTAATGCCAAAATACAGAACCCCACTAATTTAAAAGATATACGACCAATCATAATGCTTCCATCATTTTCTAAAATAATTAAAAGGGTCATGGAAACTCAACTTCGTACCCACTTAGATACTTAATATCCTCCATGAGGTGCAATCGGGGTTTAGACCGGGATATAGTTGTGGTAGTGCATTGTTAAATATCACTGATGACATTTTTAGGGAACTAGATAAGGGAAATGTTGGAGCACTGATCTTGTTGGACTACAGCAAAGCCTTTGACACAATTAGTTACACTATGCTCTTTTAAAAATTAAAATTTATAGGTGTACATGAGTCAACCATAGAACTGTTTAAAAATTATTTCAATCGCAGACGAAAATAAAATATAGGGTGTTACATTAAAAAGAAAATTCCAACTTTCTTGTGGAAAGCGATGTATAAATAAAATTATTTTTAAATTGTCGCCTTTTCTGATATACATCTCGCTGTGAAAACAGATTTAAATAGAGGCGTTACCAGTGGCTCACCCTGTATATTATGTGTTACTTTTGCTTTATTGAATACAATTTTAGAAATTCTAATTCTGTTTGTTTCTGCTACTTTTTTATTTAATTTTATTACTCCCCCATCCTTTTCTTGTTTCATTGTATCAACTGGATAAGAAAAACATTTGAATTTTTCCTATTTACAAAAAAATTATGACCTGTAATAAATCTACTTATAAAATTGATAATTTTAAACAAGTTGGCTTATTGAATTTAAATCGTTAAGTATATTTATTACATATTATATAAAGGAGATTAATCTTAATACCTTCCTATCTTTTTACATTCTTAAGAAAATCTTATAAAATAAAAAAAAAAAATTAAAAAAAATTTATTTGAGTAAAATGGGTTTCAAATTTGCTCTCTTGCTATCTGCTCTACTGACGTGTACCTTGTCTGGAAGGCCAAGTTTATCAAAATTTCCTGGACAATCAAAATTCAAAAATTTATATGGACCACTCGATGCTAATATCAGAGTAGGAGACGCAGGTGAACCACTAATAGTAACCGAATATTTAAAAGAAAACAAGATTCAAGAAGCCCAAGCTGCCGCTGAAGTAGATCCAACATTATTCGCAGGAATAAAGAGTTACTCAGGTTATTTTAATATTGACGAAGCCGCAGATGCTAATTTATTCTTTTGGTTCTTCCCCTCTCGATCTAACTATGCAGAGGATCCCGTTTTACTATGGTTGCAAGGAGGTCCAGGTAGTACATCTATGTTTGGTTTATTTCAAATTAACGGACCAATTGTACTGGTTGAAGATAACGAGTTAGAAATCAGAAATCAATCTTGGTTCGAATCTAACTCGATTCTCTATATCGACCAACCAGCTGGTACTGGCTTTAGTTTTACAAATGGAGAAATTGTTACAAATCAAACACAAATAGGTGCCGAACTATATATTGCTTTGCAACAGTTTTTCCAGCTCTTTCCAGAATTACAATCTAATGACTTCTTTATTACCGGTGAATCTTATGCAGGTAAATTTATACCTGCTATAAGTTACACGATATTAAAGAATAATCCATATGCTGAATTAAAGATTAATCTCAAAGGATTGGCTATTGGAAATGGTTGGAGTTCTCCCATTCATCAGTTGAGATATTCCGATTATTTTTTGCAACTTGGTTTGATTGATTCAAATGTCAGAGATGAAATGTTGGACTTGGAGGAGAAAGGTAAATAGCAAAATTTTTACTGTTTTTTGTATTTTGTAGCAAACAAATAAGGCCTTAAATTTTTTATTGCAAAAACTATGCAGTACTGTTAATACTGGTCTTAAATTTTCAAAAATATTAACATTATGGACTCTATTTTGGTTTAAAATTTGTTTAGAGAAACTTTTTGAATTTCCGTATTTAGAATTTTGACAGGAATTAAATTTTCTTTTGCCCTAACTAGAGTTCTAGCTATAAAAACACATTCACATAATTCACTATGCAGAACCACAAAGTATCCGTTTATATCTATATCAACAATATTTAATTACTTCACATCTAGGAGGGATTGACATATAATTAATTTGTTGTTGTGTTTGTATAGGAATTACATGTCTTGTATTATTACATGAAAGCAAAAATATAAATTTATCATATTCTACTGTTGCAGAATAATCATAAAAGAAATTTAAGTCCAAAATATCCTGCATTTCTAATTCAAGGATATTTTAAAGTTGTGTCAGCTGATACTACTGACCCAGATATGCTATTAATTAGTATTTTCTTTGAAAAATCATCTACTTTATTATTAAATATGTCGTTGTTCAGTCTTACAGACAGAAGTAGTTCAAATAATTTATCTATGCTGCCTAGAAGACAAATTGGTCTATACTTTTCGATTTCTTTCGTTGAATTTTTTGTAAGCAGTACTAATCTTGCCTTTTTTCCAATCTTTAGGAAATTTCCGTGTGGTATTTATATTATTTTCTACTTTTGTAACTGTAAGTGGAATTGCGTTGACTACTGCATGTACTGTTTCTGAGTTAATTCCATCTGGTCCAGGGATTCCTATTTTTTTTTAGTTTCTTAGCTAGAGACTTATTACTGTCAATTTTTATTGAGGGGTTCTTAAAATAAAAATATACGAATTAATAAAGTATGATTTTTTACATTATATTTAATTCTTTTTATATTCTTGACAGCTATCGTCGCAATCAATAAAGGAAACTTCACCGAGGCAAATATATTCATGGACGCCGTTATAGGAGGCGGAATTTCTAAATTTACTACAGCTACAGACTATTCAAACATTTACAATTACCTCATTGAAGAATATGATTCAAAACCTGACGTATGGTTAGAAAATTTCCTCCAAAGGGAAGACGTAAGAAGAGCAATTCACGTTGGAAACACCCCATTCAGTAACGGTAACGATGTTTTCGATAGTTTAAGAGACGATAATCCACAATCTGTAGCTCCTTGGGTTGAAGAGCTTCTGGAAAACTACAGGGTACTACTTTTTAGCGGACAGTTAGATTTGATAGTTCCATATCCGTCTACCGTAGATTATATAAAAAGTTTGAATTTCTCAGGGGCTGTTGATTACAAAAAAGCTTCACGATCCACTTGGTTTGTCGGAAATAGGATAGCTGGATATTCTAAAAGTGCTGGTAATCTAACGGAAATTTTGGTGAGAAACGCTGGTCACATGGTACCCGCAGATCAACCGGAATGGGGACTAGATATGATTAATCGATTTGTAAAAAATCAACCGTTTACAAATTAAATATATTTATTATTTAAATATACAAACCTAAATAAATTATTTTTAAATTTGGTACTTACTATTGTACCATTAAATAAATAATACGGAACTTACTGTAAAGTTTTTTTTGTTTGTTTGTAAAATGTATGCAACTTTGTATGTTACCACTGGAAGCATCGATGCTATATCGCTTCTTCCAACGCATGTGCGATCATCTAGAGTTGTTCTCTTTGATACAGGTAAAGAAGGTCCAAAAGTTATATTTCCTAGTCAGTATACAGATTCGAAAATAAAATATCTACATTATAACCGATCGATGTGAGCACACGAGAACGAGTCACATATCCAACAAGAACGAATTATTACGAATGAAGACTAAGAGTGTACGATGCGATCATTAAAAGCGCATTCCAGTAGGAGGCAGCATTTAATATGGCGTTTCAGCTACTATAGTCTATTTTTATGTATGAGAGAGTAATAAAACAGCATTTCTAATGCAAAACTTAGTACGGTCATTTTAAATATTTTTACAGAATATTCTAAATATTTCCTAAAATTGTAATAAATGTACCTGAGCTATTACAAGTTTTGGATCTTTTATTGGTCCTTTATAAACATAAGCTGTACAGAACAATAGAAAAAGGTTTGAACAGGCCAAAAGCCCTGTGTATTAAAGATTACATAGCCGTATCTTAAAATTATTTGAATAAGTACCTATTTGCCAATTTTGTTTTATTTTAATTCGAAGAACTTCTTACAGTAATCGAATTATAAGTAGATAAATACCTTCCCAACAAATTTCACCGAAAATGCGATTATAGGTTTTCCATTTAGTAAGGAGGTCCAAGTTGTGTATTCTTGACAGTTTACTAAATGTCGTTTAGTTGCAACTTGCAAGGTGCGGTGTGAATTCTAATGTGATCATGGAAAAAATTGGAAGGGCCGCGTGAACGACAAAAAATCGGTCCTTTAACAGTTAATGAAAAAACATTAATATTTAATTGTTTTAAATCATTTACAGATAAACATTTATGTAAAAGTGTTGATGACACAGTGGAATTAGTTAGTAGTACGCTTCGTGTTGGGAAATCTACGATTTACAGAGTTGTTAAAGAAGAGAAATGTGGCGAGTTTCAAACAGCACGTAAAGCTCCAGGAAAACCAAAATTTCTATTAGAAAATCTTTTGAACGAAAGACTTCGAAGGAAAGTGCATGCGTTCTTCTTTAGAAAAGAATTTCCGACAGTAGACAAAGTTCTTGCCACGGTTCGAGATGATAAGGATTACTTTGAAATGAGTCGAAGCACACTATGGAAACTTAAAAAAAAAATAGGTTTTCTATGGAAAAAGCATTCCAGAAAGTCTATTTTAATAGAAAGAAGCGATATTGTAGTATGGAGAAGAAATTACCTAAGGACTATAAAAGAAATGCGAAACCAAAGAAAAAATATATTTTATTTAGATGAAACATGGATCAACGAGGGACATAAACCAAATAAATTTTGGCAAGATGAAACTGTTACAAGTCGAAGACAGGCTTTTTTAAATAATTTATCTACTGGTTTAAATCCACCATCAGGAAAGAGGCGCAGACTAATAATAGTACACATCGGTAGTTCAAACGGTTTTGTTAAAGGTGGTTTATTGACTTTTGAATTCACTTGTACCAGTGACTACCATGAGGACATGAATGCTGATGTCTTTAAAGAGTGGTTCGAACAAATTATAGATCTTCTTCCTCAGAACTGTATAATAGTAATGGATAATGCAAGTTATCACTCGAGACTTATAGAAAAAATGCTCACAACCAAGTGGTTAAAAAAAGATTTACAGAATTGGCTAAATTCAAAGAATATTAAGTTCCATCCCGGTTCTGTAAGAAAAGAACTGTATCATTTGTGTTCCCTTCATAAAGAGAAATTAAAAAAATATGAAATTGATGAAATTACAAAAAATCATGGGATGACGGTGGTTAGATCACCACCATATCATTGCGAAGTAAACCTGATTGAACTGATATGGGCACAGATAAAGGGAGAAGTTTCAAGAAAAAATAATTCTTTTAAAATGAGTGATGTTAAACAGTTGTTTTTGGAGGCTGTAAATAATGTGAAGCCTGAAAACTGGGAAAAGGCAGTAAATCATACGATTAAAGAAGAAGAGAAAATGTGGAAGTTGGACAATATTACTGATGAAATGATCGAGCCACTCATTGTAAATATTGGTTGCGACAGTTCATCTACTGATTTCGATTCTGATTTGGATTTGTAGGTAAGAAGTAATTTTTATATTAAAATTATTATTTATGAACGTAACGTTGTTTAAAAGTCAAAGTTTAAACCCTTATACCTACATAACCCGTTTGACACAATGTTCTTGACATAACTTGTGGAAAAATAAAACATTTTAGAAAAAATTGCACTTTTTTACCTTCAGCTATTTAGAAGTTATAAGCAGGTTAATTAGGTGAAAATATAAGTGTATACTCGAGGAATAACTTCAAAAAATATTTTAACTGTCTACTAAAAGAAGTGCTACGCCTATGGATTACGAACGCTTTATTATTTTAATACTCTCTCATACATAAAAATAGACTATAATTTAGAACAATTTAAAAAATGACGTATAATCAGCCCCATACAAAACCTCTATTATTGCATGGAGGCTTAGGGTCATCATTTCGAGTTTTACTCGAGTGACTGATAAGCATTTAAAGAAAATAAAAATCATTAAAAGATCATGGCTAGAAAGACAGTAGCGATTTAAAACTCAGGGGTTATAATCTAGGAAAAAATACCTTTAAAATAAAATATCACTCGACCCCTCTTTCCATTTAAGATTTTAGAGGTGAGTCTCACCCCCGCTAGAGGGTTTCCGTTTAGGGGGTGAAACTGCAAAAAAAATATTTTTCCTTCAAATCAAAATTTGACGTTTTTTCGTAAATGACGTAAAGCAATCTACGTTTCTTTGCCAAATACAAAAAAGTTCTTACAAAAATAAAATATTCACTATCAAAAAACTATATAAGGTTTTTTTGAGTATTTAATTTAAAATCTACACAAATGGTATGATTAGATTTTTATATAAAAATCAGGATCTGGTAATTAGGGCTAGAAATATAATTAATATATGTAAATATGGAACACAAAGTGTCCTAACAACATTCAATTTGCTCTACTAAAAAGTTGACTAAAATATTAAATAACTTTCAAAATTCTATCATTCTTTTATTATACCTATTTTTTTATTCTATTATAAGATATGATTATATGTATTTATATTCATTAAATATACATTATTGTGAATGTATTTTTCAGTATAATAATAAGTAGTATTTAGATAAAAAATGGAGTGATTATATGCTTAAGAGATATCTTTAAACAGTTTCTAAGCAATTTAAAGTATAAATCTTTGGTTATCTTAATCTCAAATCCAAACCTTCAAAATATATAAATACATATTCTGAAGTAATTTTTTTAATAAGTTCAAAATGAAACCACTAACAGCATTTTTATTGTCGGCATTAATTATTGGTTCTTTAGAAGCTAAACCTAATATTAAAAATTTTTTTAGGAAGCCCATTTTTAAAGATTTTTATGGTACAGTTGATGCAAATATAAAAGTTGGAGATGCTGGAAAGCCCCTAATTCTTACCGACCTAATCCAACAAAATCTAATTGATGAAGCTCAGGCAGCAGCTGAAGTAAATTTGGATGCCTTTTTGGGAGTTAAAAGTTACGCTGGATATTTCAGAGTTGATGACATATACGACTCAAACTTGTTTTTCTGGTTTTTCCCATCGCAATCAAACTTTGAGAAGGATCCAGTAATGTTGTGGTTGCAAGGAGGACCGGGAGCACCATCTGAGTTTGGTTTATTTGATGAGACAGGTCCATTTTATATTAAAGACGACCAATTGGTTTTAAGAAACACTTCCTGGACTACATCAAGCTCCGTTTTGTACATTGACCAACCTGCTGGTACAGGATTTAGTTTTACTAATGGCGGATATGCCAAAAACCAAACTAAAGTAGGAGATGATATGTATGAAGCAATCTACCAATTCTTTCAACTGTTTCCCCTTTTGCAATCTAACGAATTTTTTATCGCTGGAGAATCGTATGCCGGTAAATATATCCCTGCTGTGGCTTACTCAATACTAAAGAAAAATCCATCGGATGAAATAAAAATTAACTTGAAAGGATTGGCTATTGGAAATGGTTTTACGGATCCCAAGTATCAGTTGAGATATGCTGATTACTTACATCAACATGGTTTCGTTGATTCTAACACCAGAGATGTGATGAAGAAAACAGAGAATGAAGGTAATAAGTAATTTTTTTTCGAAATACGTTAAACTGCATTCCTGCATTTTACAGGCTTAGCTTTGATTTTCATTTACTTTATTGGTTAATTTCAAACATTTAGCCTAATTACGTAAAATTTACAAAATTAAATAGCAAAACTTTTTATATATATTATCGACTGTATAAAGATAAATTAAGCGGAACTAGCAGTTATTTTTTTATGAGAACTATTCTAAATAATATGTTAAAACTCTATTTTTAAATTGCGTTTATAATATATCTAATTGGATCATGATTTTTTCTTTATTTTTAAAGTTAATAATGCAACAGACTGAATGATGAAATAAATTCTTTGTTAGTAATTACACTTCTGCACTATAAATTATTTCAAATCAAACTTATTTTATTATTATAATTGCTAAATGTTGTCAAGTATGGTCGCTTTTTCACAAAAAATTACAATAATTTAGAATAAAATAAAATACAGTTCATCAAATTTCTAGAGGTGTTCGACGCCCAGACAGAGAACGCGCTACGTGTGACTAAGATAGCTATTGTACAGTTTGCTAAACAAGTTATTTTAAATAGTTTTTAATATTTTTAGGTAATTAAATTTTAAAAGTGTGGAATAGTTTAGGGATTAAATTGGTCTGATTGGACTTTCTTAGAACGTTTTTAAAAGCAGCTAAAGATAGTATGTAGAATTGAAAATAATTATTATGTCATAAAAGGTGTTTTGGAATTCCTTCAACCTTTTGAAATTGAGTCAGAAAATATAAATTTTATAGGATAGCGGAAAATACCTATAATTTTTTATAGGCCTTTGTAAATCGTGGAAATAGTTTATATTTTATTTCTACCTTATTAAGGAAAATGGTACCTATTATTAATAACGGTTGTTTCTGAAACATTACTAAAATTTTCGAAATTTTGTTTTTCTACAAAATAATAAACTATACTATTTAGAAAAAAATTTATTTCTCTTATAATTTTATAAAAAATAACGGGAATATTTACATTTCTTGATCTATTAAACAAAACGATAAATTATCTCGACGAATGACACCATGTTCTAGTACATTTTTGTTGGTGGTTTCATGGGTTTCATATCAATTTTTTGTAATTGTAGTTTACACGAACATATACCTCTTAACACTTGTTTGCTTTATTAAAAAAGTGTGGTGTTGTGATTTACGTCGAAATAAGTCAAAAACAACTTGAAACCCCATATAAAATCAAAAAGGAGAAACGGAAAAAAATTGAGCCTGTAAATAAACACAACTCAGAAACAAAAATATCTATCTAATAATAAAAAATAAAATTTGATTCTTGTGCATCTTCGTTGTAAAAATAGATAATACTTTTTTGATCTTAGGTACAGATATAATTTTAATGGTCTTCCGAAAAACTTTCTTCAGTTTCCATATCAGATTCAAAATCAGTCTCACTGTCACTGTTTAAGTTAATTATAAATCTATCAGTTGCCTCATCCAAAGTAACTTCTCTGTCATAAAATTTAGATTCCCGCATTTTAGCATTATTACAACGAGATTGCCACTCCTCTTTAGAAAACGTATCAAAAAAGTCTTCACACAACAGTTGTACGTCTTGCCTCTTAAATGTAGTGTTGTTACTAGCTACATATTGTTTCAATGATGCCCACACTAATTCGATCGGATTAAGATCGGGATGATATGGTGGCAAACGCAAACAACTAAAACCATGTTCATTTATCATTTCTTCAATTGCATACCTCTTAAATCGTGACTTATGCAATAGCACTAAACTGTATAATTGCGTTTTGAGCATATCCTCTTCGTAAGCAATATTATGATTCCTTAACCAATCCTGCATGTCAGCTTTTTTAGAAGTTGACGTTGGTGCTTTATTTACCTGGATATTATGGTAAGGAGCATTATCAACAATAATGACGCTTCTTGGAGAGAGGTTCGGAAACAGCTTTTCTTTCAACCATTTAGAAAAATTATTAAAATTCATTTCATCGTGGTAGTCTCCACTTTTATTTCCAGATTTGAAAATTAACCGGGCATTCGGAATAAAGCCCATTTCACCTCCTGCATGGACAATAATTAGTCTATCACCTTTATTAATTGGTTTCTTTAATCCCTCATTTGAATTTCTGGTGTGTGTGGGAGGCATGAATGTATGTTTCATCTAAGTAGACAATTGGACGGCCCTCTGCTCGATAACTTTTTAAACGAATCAGATAGTCTAAACGTAGCTATTGAATATCAAACCTTTCCATTAATATTTTTCTGTTTGTTTTTGTTTTCCGCCAACGAAATCCTAGCGACTTTATTATTTTTCTTAAACTTTCATAGCTTCCTTTGTACCCTGTAGCTTCTCTAAATTTAGTCAGAATTGTTTTTAATGTTGGAACAATATTTTCCGAGATTAACATGAACAGAATAATTCTTTTTAAAATACCTTTGTCAGCTTCATCTATATCATTAACTGTTTTTGGTTTTTTAATGGTTTTTCTTGGTGATGAAAATTCCGATATCTCACGGTTATCGATTCCTTTTTTCTCTCCAGAAATGCGGTCGACAGTGTTTTTAGATACTCCTGTGGCTGCAGCAACACGATCATTTACATTTTTAAATGGTATTGAAGGTGAATTAAAGTTTCCTTCTCTTCTCATAAACTCTATAACATTGGCTATTATTTCGCGAGATTGACTGTTAATCACGCGGCCTCTTAATTTGCTATTAAACTCCATACTTAGGTTCTATTAAACTGTAATGAGCAAAAAACACAAACGAAAATAAAAGAAATGTTTTAGCGAAATTTACATCTGACATTTACGTCTGAATAAAATAGTGAAATACTTGATGCGCAGAGTGTACTTTCATTGCGTAAATCCGTCGGGATGCCTGTCAGTAGTGCTTTCTCTGTCTAGCCGTCGAAAGCCTCTAGAAATTTGATGAACTGTAGTGACATAATAGGCAGTCACCAAATCCAATTCACACACACACACACAGACACACACAAAATAAAATAGAATAACTAATTTCGGCCTATGTGACCATCATCAGGATTGTAATAAAAACTACGTTATGACAACGTTATAGTTATAATAATCGAAATATTGTTATAGCTGTCGAAAAAATAAATAATGAAGACTGGGAACGAGCTAGTAATCTAATGAATAAGGATTTTGAAACAATAGATGCAGCGACTGGTCTTGCAAGTCTTTACAATTATCTTGAAAATCCAAGTGATGAGAGCGATGATGGAATGGGTGACTTTTTAGCAAGAGAAGATGTTAGGAGGGCTATACACGTTGGTAATACTCCTTACAACACTGACGGCAATGTTTATGCTAATCTTCAATTTGATATTCCGAAATCGGTAGCTCCATTAGTTGCTGAACTTCTGGAACACTATAGAATTCTTATTTACAATGGACAGATAGATATTATGGTAGCCTATCCTATGACTATTGACTATTTGCAAAATCTTGACTTTGTTAGTGCTGCAGAGTACAAGAAAGCTGACAGACGTATTTGGACTTACGGAGGAGATGTTGCTGGATACATAAAAAGCGCTGGTAACTTAACGGAAGTTTTGGTTAGAAACGCTGGACACATGGTACCCACTGATCAACCTGAGTGGGCTTTGGATCTAATAAATAAATTTAGAAGAAATAATTTGTAAACCAACCAAAATATACTTGTATTTATATCTTTCTGGAATAAATCTATATATTACCATACATTTTTCCTAAACCTTTTACGCTTCTATCCAAGCTTTAGCGAGTCCAAAATATTGATTCGTTTCATTTTTTAATATCATATTAATTCTAGTACTGTTCTAAGAAATGGAATGCACTCCTACCTGAGCCAGTGGCTTTTATGGTCTCCCTAAGGGTTAGAAATACCTTAATACTGGTGATAGTCTAGTCAGCAATGTCTATCTGAAGGTCTCGATAAAGGTCGCTGTTTCTAATGTACCAAGGAACATTGACAATGTTCCTCAATACTTTGTTCTGGAATCTCTGGATTATTAGAATATTACTGTAGCTGGCATAGGTCCAAATTGGTTTGACAACTTGTTTATATAATAAAATTTTGTTATATATAGATTGGCTGGAATACCTACCAAGTAATCAGTACATTTTCTTGAATTTTATATTAAACTCTTGTCTTTTTTAAAACATGGACCTTCCAGCGAAGATTTTTTTGTAGAATAAGTTACATTAGGCCTAGTGAGTTAGTTGCATAAAGTAAATCATTTTGAAATTTGTTGCGATTATAAAGAATGTCACTTAATATGTCACAATTGGAAAAATAGTATTTATTAATCCAGATTAATGTAAATTTGATTGACACAAAATATTTATTTTGTTAAAATAAAAGCAAACAAACAAATAAAAAAAAACTTTACAATAAGTTCTGGATTATTTATTTGTAGAATAGTATGAACCAAATTTAAAAATCATTTATTTGTTTATCATGGATGCAAAAAGAAAAAAAGATTCTATTACAACTGCTGCTACTAAGTCACACTGGTAGCCAACGTCATAAATGGATAGACAGCTGTTGAAAATGGTTTTAATTTTCTTGTTATTATTTATTGTATACACAAAATGTTTATTTCAATGTTAATAAAAAATATTCAGGATTTATTTTAACGTCTTAAGGTACGTTTACATCTGACATTTATTGCATGATATTTATGTCTGACAGTTGTTTAGTCCAGTGTAAACACTCAAAAATATATGTCCGAGAGAAATTTTTGTGTGTTTACACTGGACTAAACAACTGTCAGACATAAATCTCATGCAATAAATGTCAGATGTAAATGTACCTTTAAAGTAAAAGTTTGTTACCCTGCATCCTATAGTGTGCTGCGGTCTTCATAAGTAAAATTAAGAGTAAAATAACGAGTAAAGACGAAGATAGAAAAGTCTAGAAACGTCCAGAAATGTTATCCCATGTCAAGAAACATATAGAACGTTTCTAGACCATTTCTAGAAGGTTCTAGAAGGTCCTGACGTCAGAGTTTCAAGTTTAATGATAGACGTTATACGTTCATGTTATATAGTTTAATTGTAAAATTATATTGAAATAAAGTAAGTTACTAAAAACCTGCGTAACCCTTAGGGAGACCATAAAAGTCGCTGGCCCCAGGTAAGAATGTGTTCCATTTCTTAGAATACCACTAGAATTAATATAATATTAAAATAGTTTGTTCTTGCTAAAGTTTTCTATCTTGGATAGAAAAATTATGGTACAGATGTAGATAAAAATACATTAATATCAAATCTTCTATGTAGATTTATTCCAGAAAGATATAAATACAAATTTTATACAAGTACATTTTGTTCGGTTTACAAATTATTTCTTGTAAATTTATTTATTAGATCCAAGGTCCACTCTGGTTGATCAGCGGGTACCGTGTGTCCAGCGTTCCTCACCAAAACTTCCGTTAAGTTACCAGCGCTTTTTACGTATCCAGCAATATTGTTCCCGTAAGTCCAAATACGTCTCTTGGCAATCTTATACTCTTCAGCACCAACAAAGTCAAGATTTTGCAAATAGTCAATAGTCATAGGATAGGCTACCATAATATCTATCTGCCCATTGTAAATAAGAATTCTGCAGTGTTCTAGCAGTTCAGCGACTAGAGGAGCTACCGATTTTGGAATATCCAACGCAAGATAAGAATAAACGAAGGGGTCATAATCGTAAGGAGTATTGCCAACGTGTATAGCCCTCCTGACATCTTCTCTTGCTAAAAAGTTGCCCATTCCACCATCAGTCTCATCACTGGGGGCTTCAAGATAATTGTAAAGACTTACAAAACCAATCGCTCGATCTATTGTTCCATAATTCTCATTAATTAGATTAAATGCTTGTTCCCAGTCTTCATTATTTATGCTTTCGGCAACTGTAACAATATTTTGATTATTATAACGTAGTTTTTATTACAGTTCTGATAATGGTCACTTTTTTGTTCTATTCTAAATTTTTATTAAAGAAGTAATTGAAAATCAAAGCTAACCTTATAAAATGCTGTAATGCAGTTTAACGTATTTGAAAGTTCCAAAATATTTTTTATTACCTTTATTTTCTGTCTTCTTCATCACATCTCTGGTCTTAGAATCAACAAAACCATGTTGGTGTAAGTAATCAGCATATCTCAACTGATATTTGGGATCTGTCAAACCATTTCCAATAGCCAATCCTTTCAAGTTAATTTTTATTTCGTACATGTTTTTTATTTCACTAAAAAATTAAAAAAATTACTATCAAAATTTTGTATGGCTATATTTCGTATTAGTTAGAAAATAATTGCAAAAGTAAATTCTCCTTTAAAAAAACCCGCCAATTTTCAACTTAAATATAAAATTACGGGTAACTGCATTACCGACAGAGTAAGAGTTGATGGTAATACTGCTGGTAACTACATTACCGACAGAGTAAGATTAGTTCTACTCCTCCACCCCACAGGTCGTTGCAAGCAAACATGTTGCCAAATTTCTACAAAGAAACGGCAACTCTTAATAATCCTTCCTCCATGCTTCGACCGTTAAGAAATTTACATAAGCAGGCCCGGAATTAGGAAGAAATTTGAAAAGTTTATTTCTAGTTTATAAATTACCTTTCTTGTCATAAAAAGTTTAAATTATAGTATGCTAAAATACAAATAAACCAGTTTAACTTTCTTAGCAAAAATCAAAAAATCTAAACAAGCGCGTAAAGAACACAAACTTTGGAATGCACCAACTTATATAAATCAAATTGTGTATGTATGTGAATATTACATATGAAAATAAGAGGTCAATTTTTATTTAGATAATTTTACTAAGTTTATGTTTTGTAAGATGTAACAGCTAACTATTTTGGAATCAATGATACCAGGTAGAAAAAACTATTGGAATTCCATGCAAAAACAGTCAATAGACACAAATAGTAGTTTTATATAATATACTTACATATATAAAATTCAAAAACTCTAAGCAGTGCCACAACAAATACCATAAAATATACTTCCCGTGTCCCTTTCTTACTTGATTGATATCTCTGTTTACCATATAGGGGTATACAATTTGTCATATAAAACATTGAATTTGTGTTAAATTAACGCGCATAAACTATTTTAGTCGGCTTCAACAAATTCGTGTCTATCCCTTATTTGAGCTGCGTCTGATACATATTTACCTATTATTGAAATATTAGAGGACAATAGATGATACTGGAAATTCCTAATATGATTTAATTCCGGGAATTAAATATTTTATTGTTCGTTATTAAATAACTTATTTTTTAATTGGCATAGTTCATTGGTAAATAAAACTATTATCTTTGTATGTGCTGAATTTAACAAGTATTGTAATGATTTAGGTTTTTTTAATTTATTCTTATATAGGTACAATAGTAGTTTGTTCATGGCCATATCGCACGAAGACGAAATTTGAGCACGACGCCGTTATTTTCACTACTATTAAATGATTTTTGTAAATTGTGATGCAAAAACAGAAAATATAACAATTTTTTTGGATTTGTTTTATATATTTTAATTTATTAATAATATTATTCTTACCCTCTTTTGGCATATTCTCTACGTTAATGTGCTTACCTGAAAAAAATAAAAAAATACAATTATTACAATAAATTATACGTTTTTTTTTTATTTAAAATATTTGTTTCTTATAATATTCATCAAATATATTTTATGCTAACTTAAGGGTACAATATAGGTCTTGTAGTTTATTAATGATATTTCTTGTTCCAAATTGTAATTTTCAGATAATTTAAAAGTATTTTTTTATATTCCTGATATATATTATTATTATTTATTTCTTTAAGAAAAATTAAATGATTTATATGATTGGTGTATGTGCAATAAATTGTTTCTCAGAACAATGTTTCTACACTTTTTATAAGTATTTTCTGAAGTTTTGAAGTTTATAAATCTATTAGTTTTGAAATAGTGACGAAATAAAGGCTCCAATGTCAACTTTATAACAAATAGGAAGTCAAATTTAAAACTCTCTAAATTCAACACGTGTTAAAATTTGACAATGTTGTTGGTAGAATAACGTTTCTACATTATTTGTAAGTATTTTCTAAAATTTTGAAGTTTATAAATCTATAAGTTTGGAAATAGTAACGAAATAAATGCTCCAATGTCAAATTTATAACAAATAAGAAGTCAACTTTGACACTCTCTAACTTCAACACATGTTAAAATTTGACAATGTTGTTTACAGAATAATGTTTCTACACTTTTTATAAGTATTTTCTGAAGATTTGAAGTTTATAAATCTATTAATTTGGAAATAGTGACGAAATAAAGGCTCCCATGTCAAATTTATAATAAATAAGAAGTCAACTTTGACACTCTCTAACTTCAACATATGTTAAAATTTGACAATGTTGTTTGCAGAATAATGTTTCTACACTTTTTATAAGTATTTTCTGAAGTTTTGAAGTTTATAAATCTATTAGTTTGGAAATAGTGACGAAATAAAGGTTCCAATGTCAAATTTATAACAATTAAGAAATTAACTTTAAAACTCTCTAACTTCAACACATGTTAAAATTTGACAATGTTTAGAGAATAATGTTTCTACACTTTTTATAAGTATTTTCTGAAATTTTAAAGTTTATAAATCCTTTAGTTTGGAAATAGTGACGAAATAAAGGCTC